TTATTATTATTATTTTTTATTTGTTTTAGACTAAAACTTTTAATTTTATTCATTATACAATTTTAGGTAAAAATTTGAGTTATGAAACTACCATAACTCTATAATGTTCAAGATTTAATTGTTTATAGATTTAAATATTCTTTATCCTCGTATGATAAAATTTCTTTGTTTTTCAAAAAAAAAAAAAATCTGAAACAATATTTAACATACACATTTCTCAATCATGTGTTGTGAAATTTATATAATTAAAAAATGTGTGTAAGGGTGTTAAAAAGTTAGAATTTTAGTCATGAAGCTTATAAATGATCTTTAATATTACTCGCAATGACCAAAATACACATTTCTTAAATATATGTTGTGAAGTTTAGCTAATTGTGCCACATCTGCCACTAATTATAGCCTGGTTGGTATACGTTAAGCATTTTATATTTTCGCATGAAAATGTAAAGTTATTTAGAAAGGAGATCAACCATTTCCTCCATACATATCCGATCATATATTTAAGGAAAAGAGAAAAGGAGAGGAAATAATTAACTAAAGGACTTTCATTATTATGGCCAAAAAGAGAAGGGACTTCTATTGTTTAGGGCCAAAGTGGCTGTCAATGGTTAGGCCACTTAAGCTCTGGGGCTCGGTTTTTCAGCCCGATTTCTGCTTGGTTATTAATTTTATTTATTTTTATTTATTTATTTTTTGTTTCTTGAACGTTTCTCTGTCATTATTATCATCTTAGAAGTAAAGATAACATCCTAAAGGGTGTCTGGTTTCTCAGTCTCTCTTGTGGTGAATTACAAGATCAGGACCATCAGAAGGGATAAAGGAGGACTCAATATCAAAGAGCCTTTCCTCTTTCTCATTGTCCTGATCTTGTAATCTACCCTATGACGGGACTGCAACACTTTTTGGATATCTTAATGTTTTCTACAATAATAAAAAAATTAATTTAAATCATATAATATATAAATAAAATGAATCAAGGAAAAATAAAAATTTATCTTCCATTTTACTTTCTAAAAAAAAAAAAAAAGGGGGGGCCAGTATTGTCGCTAAGAAATGGCATCCAAACACAGTGGTAAGCTAGAATCCCTAAAACCCTTCAGAAGGTAAATCATATAAAGCATTCTCTATGTCTATTTTCGACAATCAATGTCGCCAATTTCTTTCATTGTTTCTCTTTTATTGTTGATAAAAAATTCAACTAGTGACAAGGGTCAAAACTAAGTAAGTTTTTAGGAATCTCAGTCCTGGTATGAATAATTTGTTTTTAAATTCAGGTGGGGGGTTTAGAGCTGGAATGAACCTAGAAAGGAGAAAAAACGCTACTATCTTGTACTGGTAACACAATTTCAAAAACCTAAAATCACTTGCCAATAGCCGTGAACCATGTGATGTTACAGGACTAGTTTCCCGGACCCGTTTGGGTTATTATGCCTAGCTTTCTCCCAATGCTTCAAAATCTTTCACAAGCTCCTAAACACACTAAAGGGATGGCTCAAACCATCGAAAAGTAAATTGATATCACTTCAGATGGAAACTTAAGAAAATGAGGAGCACAAGGCACAGCTAAGTCACACTATAACATCGTCTTCACACTTAAACATGGTATAGAAGAAATTGATGCATGTAAATGCAAGTAAGGAAACTGGTAGTAAGGCATAATGCTTTATTATTCAGAGAAATGATAATGAGTACATAGGTAGCCTTTACATAGGCAATAACCCATTGAACTAAAAACCTAGAAACCTATGTACCAAAAAAAAAAAAAAAAGAACCTAAAAACCTTAGATCGATTTAGCATAATGATTTTAAGAGCTGTTTACATAATTGATTCAATAACTAGTAATGCTTATCTCTCATAAATATCCTTAACACATGGGTCACTGGCTTTACCCTCCATAGGAGCTAGCCCTACTGCTAGTGCCATGGAACGTCCTGAGCATCTTACTAGAAAGCAACTAGTGACTATTTTGCCTGCTTATGATTAGACAATCATCAATCAGGGTAGACAACTTGATTAATATTTCTTTTCAACAAATTTGAGCTTTAATTAAGTTCAATAAAGATAAATTATTTTAGTATCTTTTCAACAGGAAAAACCTGAACGCTTAGCAACATGCTATGAATAAACGTCACAAAACTCGAAATGATGGATGGACTAAGAATTGTTATCAGCATTTTAAAAGGGAAATGTGATTGAGTGAAAGGGGTGTATTAGTTACTGCTGGTTATGTAGTCCAATTATTGAAAGGAAAATGGTATTTAATTTAATGGCCTCAATCTATTTGCATTCATTTCACTGATTCTTTATGTCGCATCAACGGGTCAGTAGTATTCAACAAGGTATGGTTAATGAAACAACGTGGGTATGGAAGTGATCAATTCTTGGGTGGCTTCAAAACTCAAATGGGGCAAGAACAGGTTGAATTTTGCAAAGCAAACCTCCATTGCTTCCTGTAAATGATTTGTGTGAATGTTTCAAAATGAGTGCTTTAGAAGCCCATCATAATATTTGAGACGTTATTTGATACACACGTATTTTTTAATCATATGTTATGAAGTCTATATTATTAGAAAATGTTTATACAAAATATTCAAAAGTTAAAATTTTAGTTGTTAAGCTTATGAATAATCTTTGATATTACCCATAATGACCAAACTATGCATTTCTCGCAATGCTTGCAAAAGCCACATGATTCAAGCACATGTATTGCTAAGCTATATGGTTGGCATTGGAATTAATTTCACTCTTAAACTTTTTTCCAACTTTTTTCCTTTTTAAAACTAC